ATTGTGGCTCCGCTTAGTGGGGATTTGTTTGCCGTTACAAGAATCGGTAATATAGTTTTCTGTAATTAGCATCTGGTGACCGATTAATCGAAAATAAATGTTTAGGGAGTTGCGAGTTGGTGAAATTTTAATATACAGGGTGTAATAATAGATAAATACAGGTGTATTTGTGTTGAGCGTTTTTGTATCGGTGCCAATATAGTAGGTCAATAACTGTTCCGATGAGACCAAATTGAATCGTGTTTGTCGGTATATTTCAAATTAAATGTACAGATCTGTACGGCGTTTGTGTTGGGCTATTTTGCTCCGGGTTCTCATAATGACACTAAGCTGTCGACCATTCTGTACCGATGCGATCATTTGGGCGCGGTAAATTTGAAATTTACCTTATCCATTAAATGATGTGAAGTAGTTTCCAAATTGTTTTTGATTTTTTCAACGTAGCGTAAAGTTTTAGTCTACAAAAGCAGATATTAAATAATAGTTTAATAACAAACAATCTTGGTTGCTTTCTTTTTTTATTGATAACAGATCCCGTTTCTTCGAATTTAGCGACCAAATCTTGAACATAGGCATGGCTTACAGTTCTCCTGTGATGTCTCTCATTGTACGTTCCAGCTGTTCTAAAAGATGGTCGATTTTTGGAGCCATAAATGAATATTATTTCCACACGTTCAGCTGTACTGTAAGCCAATAAAAAAAGAAAGTAACCAAGGTTGCTTAATGAAGCAGCTCAGGTTGAAGTTCTTGGCCAATTTGCCATAAATCCCTCACTGTCAACATTTAGTTTTTTTTTGTTAATATTATTAAATTTTTGTTAAATTGTCTTAATGAATATTGACTTTATTATGGTACCACTGGAAAGCATTTTTCAGTAGCTTTCCAACGATGTGTCACAAGTGTGGGGTTGCCATTTAGGATTTTTACAGAGGGGGTTAAGGGGGGGGCTGTCACTCATACCATCATTCTGGTTCCCCCTCGATACCCTCGAAACGGTTTTGCGCGATTTTCAATATCTTCTTTAGTTTATGGCCGACTGCAAGTTTTACTATTGACACCTTGCATATGAGAATAAGACATTCAAGATGGCTACGTTCAAAATTTGCACACTAGTTCTGATGTATACCTTCTACTTACTCATTATTTATTTTTCACAACGTTTGGTAAATCCTCTAGTGCTATAATCCTTGTATCTGTTGTGGTTCGTGGGAAACATAAATTACAGGAGTTTTGGCGGTATATTTGGATCTTCGATTTGGTACTTTCTACCTATAGCTATACTACCCATTTTTTTAAACATAGGTATTTAATTGTTACACCCGACACGGTGATACACCAATCTGATTATGATAGGTTCGCACGTATACGTTGGTAAGAGAAGTATTGCACTGGGTTAAAAATGCCCCCCCGGACGGAAATGAATTTATTTAATGACCATTTATTTTCTGAATTTTTTGAATCCAGGTTGTGTTTCCACATTCAACCTTGTTACTTTTCTGTGGAGTCGTGTAACAAAATTATCCAGATAAATGAATATACAAAGAGGAAAGGTTGCTGGAATAGAGTTAGATACTTTCTGTTAATTTTAAAATCAATTTAAACTGATCTTAAATACTTCATTACGATAACTTTTTCAGTGTTAAGAACCCAATAAGTCCCGCACATTGAACAACAAATTGATGCCTGTAATTGAAACGAGGTATGACCAATGACCAAAGGTACAAGGTAATCTAGAATGAGATAAAAGTTATGGAAAATAGATGCACGGATCTAATGTATTTTATACCTATTTACAATTTTACAAATGGGGTAGGTACCTACTACCTTTAGAGAGACTCGCGGCTACTTATTTTTGAAGGTTTAGTTTAATAAATGAAATTTTCCGATAAATATATATGCAGTGGAATTGAAATATAACTTCGGGAATTACATATTAATTATTTCTTGGTTCAATGTTTAAGGTCGTTTATAGTTTTACAGTAACAATGTATGTTTTTAAGTAAGTAGGTACTACTATAACTTTACATTGTGTACCTACTTGTTCACAGTGGGTAAGTTGATTTTTATTTAAACACTTATATAGGCTTATTATACATTTGAGGGCGACAAATTTCTACATTTTCTATATTAAATTGATCGTGCGAGTACCTACTATAACTACCATCAAAACATATCAAATTTGATCTACTTAGGTACTAACAGTGTTTTAATATTAGTGATTAAAAGAAATACCAGTATTTTTACGATGAGGAAATGATTTTTTCAGAGAAGAGACCAATATCTAGGTCATTTGAATATAAGTTTGTAAAAAATATGAGTTTAAAGTATGATAATATTATAGTATGGAAATAGATAACTTTATGATTATTTTTGTGAAATATAATTTCAACGCATGGCAGAATGATATAAAAGCGTTGTGGGGGGTGTAAAACTGCAAGCTCGTTGTCGGCAGTGAGTACCCCGCACCAATAGGTACATTGAGAGACAATGTATCGACCTCGGCGGCTTAGCGTTACAACACCTAACGTTTAATAATCTCAAGGTAAACAATGATAATCGAGTCAACGACCGTTTTGTCGTAAAATTTGACAAACAGCACCGATTTTCATAAAAATTTGGGTTTAGTTTCTAGTGTACTTGCATGTTTAAACTACGGGATAAGTTGAAGTTATTAAATCGTAACTCATATCACACATGGATTAAAAACCGAAGAATTTTTGTTAGCAGGGTCTCGTCCCTGGGACAGGTGACTTGTACCTCGTTTTTGGGAAATGCAAGCCTAAAGATGAGATTCGACATCAACCGCAGTTCGATCTCGTAACAGTTTTTTTGGTGCAGTAATGCCCATCGCTCGGATAGTCTCTTCGCGGTGAAGTGTTGACCCCAGAACAAAAAACTGGTGTTGACGTGTGTGTTAGTTCTTGAAAGTGTACGTACCTATGTATAAAAAATATATATAGAAGGAATGGACTATATTTCATGCCATGCCACGTTAAGTGCGTTACACTGATATTGTCTTTCAAAAAGGTAGTCGTTTTTCCAATGATCTTATGATATGACATACTTCCCCCTTTTAAATTCTAACGTACAACAGAGTACAGATGAAATGATAACTAAAAGTCCCTCTCAGGAAACGAATTTTAACAGAAATGTCTGTGGCACAAATTCGCCCCATCTCATCAGGTGCGCGACGTTCCGGCGGAGTGCGTTTAGGCGGCGAGGCGATTCGGCGGCGGTACTTATCGGTGGAGGGACATTTGGTTTGGCGGATGTTTTGATGGAGCGTGATTCAGCGTATTAGGTAGATACATGCTGATTTAGAGCAAAGACAATTCCGTATAGTAAAAGTCAATCGCATTAAGATTAAGCCACTGACCACAAAATTTCGAACTCATAGATAATCTCAATGCCATCCATCCATCCGTGTAATACAAGATCCTACATATGGCCAACCTTCGCCCATCTGTTTACGGAGTGAAGTACCTACATTTCTAGCAATCTTAATATTGTAAACAAACACATTATATCTCGGCTAAGATTTTTGGAAAAAATAATTTCATGGTAATGTCGACTAAGCAGCTCACCTCTCTTAATATTATTAGCTCTTAACACGATAAAAACAGGTTCTTTAACTTAAAAAAAAGGAGTGGAAGTGGAAAGTAGTATTTTGCAATTTGCGGCAAAACTATTTTAAGCGAAAATGTTCGAAGTAAAAGTGGCCCGTAAAGTTTAGCCGTTTCCAAGATATTCAGGATTTTCGAAAAAAAATCTTTTTCATGGGGATGAAAAATCTTTTTTTTCTCATCGCACAGAGCTGCGCTGGGTAGCACAATGTTAGTAAACACTTTTTCAACCCGTAAAGTGGAGCCGTTTCCGAGATATTAAGGCTTTTCGAAAAAAATTCACCTCTTTTTCAGGGGGGTGAAAAATCTATTTTTCGAAATCTGTTTCTTCTCTTCTCTTTAATGTTGCTAAAATACTTTCTTTTGTTTCCTTGTGCTCAACTATTTCGATTAAAACGTCATTATGTATATTTGTACTGATACCGGCCCTTACGAAAGCGAGAACGGGCTATGCGCAGATGACCAATTTAGGTTGTGTTCAGACACGGCGGTAATCGCGTGATTTTCGCGCGGTTGTGTCTGAAGGATTTTGGCCATTTTCAAGTCTGCAGGAAGAGCCAACTGGCTCCGTGGACCATGACGCACTAGTGGTCCAGAAGTAGGTTAATATAAGAATGTGAATAGTGGGGATGCGTCATATTTCGCCTTCTTACGTGCCGGTAGCCTGGTAGCGTATTGGCATTCTGTACTATCATTGAATAATAAATCTGAATTCAATGGTATTATCAAATTGCGCATAACGTGAACCCATACTATACTGCGAATCAGACCAGAGCTGCTCTGAATAATAGTACAGAATGCCAATACGCAGCCCGGTACCAGTATATTGTGTTATTATAATATAATATCGCGGATCGTATAATGATTTTATCGAAGATAGAATTAAATGTTTATCGGATATTGATCATATAAGAGTTTCTCTTATATTATTAACACTTTATTGTTGACGACATTAGCTATTTCTCTATTTCTACTTCAACAGCAGGTAATCGGTCCATTGTTTAAAAGAGATGGGCGTTTGCATTAGCCAATCAGGCAGCAGGATACGTCCGTGCCTTGGTTCCTGTGCTTGGTTCTGTAGCGTTGAGAAAATCCAATACACAAAGGCAAACCTTTGGCACAATGGCACCCCTTTTCTGGCGTGCTTGGTGAACCAGCGCCTTTAGAACTGAAAGGATGTTTTCCATAATTCAAAATTTATTTTATAAAAGTAAAGTGACTAATAAGTCCTATATAAAAAGTGCCGTTTGATTTGCACAAAAAAACGACACCAACACCTCAGAATAAGAAATAAATTTCTTGTTCCCAGTATCCACAACAAAATTATTTGTCCTTCGAGCAAGGATGTACGTAACTACATATTGTCCTTGACCTACAACCTATTTACAATACTAACCTCAATTTTCAAAAAAATGGAACAGTTTTGACAGTTTCAGCTGTTGCATATTATATCGTTTTAAATTTTGAGCTGTTTTTAATTTGTTGTGATGCGGGCGAATTCGAAATATAGACTTTCCATTAAAAAATTAGCTGATACATCCACATCCATGACTAATAAGAAAACTATTTTATTATAACCCAACTTTCTAACACCAACAGTTTTCATTTAAGATATCAATTATGGCAGATGTATTAATTTTGGATTGGCTAGAGGAATACGAGTCACTTACGGAGAGTGAAATTCACACGTATTCGACGGAACAAGAACAGAACTACGAAGTGATGAAGGCATTGTACGCCTTCTTGGAAGATCCCAATAAATCTAAGGTGGAAAATGTACGTTTGCTTTTAGTTGTGCTGTATGCGCGTCAACTTTTTTTTTTTCAGTTCCTAGATAGAGTGTGCCAACAACTCTTTAGTTTTTATAGATCCGGGGAACAAAATTTAAAGTATTTTACTATGCAATACATTCCTTCATTAGTATTACTAAATTTGGCGAATACAAAAGGATTTCCGAGCGTGGGGACCCTACTATTAAGTATTTACAATCTTGAGGTAAGTAAAATAATTCAGAATTTGTACCTAATTTCTTAAAAGTTTAGGTTGTCGATAATAAGGGCCAGTCTCATATTATCTCCTTCCGTGTGCCAAGCATAGCTCAATCGTCTATTTATCACGATTCATCAAATTTGGAACCCGCATTTATCGCCGAAAACGCTCTTAGACGTTGGGAGGAATGTAATAGTAAATTGGTGAACTGGGGCCCATTACCTCAAGTAGAAAACTTAAATGCACAAAATCGACAACGGGTCGTTACGGCTCTTATGTTTTTGTATAATCAGCATATTGGAAAAATATTTGTAGATTGTCTTGAGTACGGATGCAGGACCATTTCTAGGTAGGTAAAGCAATTTATTTTAGTTTTTCCATTTATAGATAGTAAAAGGTTACCCCTATTATTTTTGTATTATTACTCATAAATTGGGCTACTGTGCTATGGGAAATGTTTACTCCTTGTAGTGTAGGCAACTAAAACGACATTGATGTAGTTTACATTAGGCGTTTTCGAAAATTGAACCGGTTGGTAAAAATTACTATTGAAACAATTGTGGCAATAAGGGTTACCATAGCAATATCTACCAACCGGGTTAAACCGGTCCAATTTTCGAAAGCGCCTATTAGTAAACAATGTTTATAATTCAGCTACGACATTTACCTATAACAAATTATAAGAGAAACCTCTCTGCCTTCCAGTATGGGAAGCCGCTTGTCTGCCTCAACTAGAATTTGACTGTAACCTACCTCGCATCCTCCATGGTTTAAAAATCCCTTTGCCCATTGTCGTAAGTCTCCCCCAGGGCCTGATCCTGGTGTGATTAGGGGAAGGCAGGCCCACAGAAACATTCATCACGGCTGTGGGGACGATCCATACGGCATGCTAGACATGGTCCAAAAGTGACTGCACTGGTGGTTCTCAAACCTTAGTTTTATTTTTGAAACAAACAACACTTTAACAAAACTTGACTTCGTCTTCTCAAGTTCAGGCACAAGACCTTAAAACCCGTAAAAATTTAGCGCAACACTGACATACGCTTTTACAATCGACCCGCAAACAGCATTATCTTTCTTTTTTCGTATTTAGAAAAGAGACCACCTCCATTCATTAATTCCATACATATAGTAGTTTTCTGGCGATACTCGAAACACTGCTTCATCGCCCGTATTGATAAACACATGCGTTGCTCATCTCGCACATGGTATTGTTATCATAGAACCATTTAACTTTTTCAATAAATACTTCTTTTCAACAAACACCTGACCAGATTAAACTTCCACATTACGATTAAATGTTTCCTTATTTATGCGTTTTAGACAAAAAATAGAATTAAATTAATTAAACAACTAACTAAGTTTACAATAAATAACTAAATTTAAAATGACAATTCATCAACTTTTTCTATTTCTGTGTCCATTCGAAAGAAATTCTACCAGGTCCTATTAAATAAATTGAAACATTTTACATACAGGATGTCCCGACCGCTATTTCCAATGCTTAAACCGAAATTACGTTAACAATATTTACATTTTTCACTAGAGGGTGGCTCGCTCTCATCTTTGACAACGTAGGGAAACAAAGGTTTGAATCGGTAGACTAAGCCGCTCTTAAACCGTAAGGGTAAATAAAGTGATCACTTTAACCGCAAGGGTAGATAAAGTGAAACAGATGATTGTGCATTCTAATGACATCTATTTTTCTTTCAAATGTGACGCGGAGCACGAAATAAAGTGACGTTCGTAACATATGACAATGCTGTTTCTATGGAATCGACCGCGACGGTAGAACCTAAGCTTGCTAATTTTGATGTCTAAATTAAATTCAGGATTGCCGGAAGCTTTACAATGATTCGTTTGGCTTCTGCTGTAAAATAAAGTTTTGTATTATTATACATGACGATAACGGGAAAGTTAATTCACTCAATTGTTAAAATATCCCTTTATCTTCTTATATAATAAATAACCATTGCCTAATATTTATTTGATTTTGGCCCTCGGTCTACATTTGAATACCCTAAAATGGCGTTAGCAAAAAAATGCCAAAATAACGGTTTGTCATCATTTTGGTTAGAATGGTTTGAACATATCCAAAAACCCCATATGTGGGGGGTGCGCAACATACCGCCATTTTATATTTTAGACCCTTTTCTTCGGTTTTTCCTCAATATCTTGAAAACTATCACTTCTTTAACTGCTTATATTTCCAAAATGAAAGCTCATTTTCTACAAAGAACGTATAAACAGTTTTTTCTGCCATTTACTATGTGGGAGATATACAGGGTCGTTCAAATTCGCCATTGGGATCTTCGTAACGGTTCCAGATACAGCGTAGGTTAAATGGGGGCAAATTTGCCCTTTTTGTGACTAAAAATTGCATTTGAAATTTTTAGACAGTAACTTGAGTATTCAATCTCAAATTAGGGTTGGCTATTATGGCCCTATGCACCGACAAATTTAAGCTTAAGCGTAGCTTATAATCCATGGCAACGATTATTGGGACAATGGTTGCCATGGATTTTCTGCGCTTAAATTTGTCAGTACAGGGTGTCCCATTAATAATGGTCATAGGCTATATCTATGGAACTGTTAATTGCACAGGTTTGGGAAAAAAATGTTGTTAATAAAAAGGGCCAAAAGAAATCTCTGCAAATTATTTTCTAGCTGAGATAGTTTCTAGCTTCTCCGCTAGAGGGCGTACGATTCATGGTTAAGTAGAAAAATGACTTTTTTTCTAAAATATACCCAACAAACATGCATAAAAAATACATGCACACCAATCTTGTATCAATTTTGCATCATTTTGATGGAGCACATTTTGCTCTAGCTCATAAAATAGGGGTGTGGGAAGGGAACTTCGGAGTAGGCTAACAGATTTTTACATAATAGGTCTTGTTGGAAAGAGGTCTCTTCGTGGAATCAGATTTTACATGAATAGAGTCGTTTTAGTAAATGTGCTGAATGGTAGAGGGCGCGATGTGACATTAACATGAACTTTGCATTTTTTTTGAAAATTTCAAACGGAACGATATAATTATTATATGATATTATCAAATAAGATGAAAAAGTGAGAATATCAGTGAAAAACCGCATTTTGATATCTGTTTTCTAAGCAGAGATATGGCGAAAATATGAACATTCACAAATTTTAATTGCAAAATTGATACTCACTCAAGTTGGCTTTGAAACCAAAGGAACACAATACCACGTAAAAAACTGTCAAAGTTTATCACAGTCTGTAGCATCATTTCATTAAACGTATTCGTGCGAATTATCACCACGATGAGTGCGAGAGTGGGTAAGCGAGAGTATTTGAATCTGAGCTATCCTGTTAAATGGATAGAAAGAGGAAGTATTTTTTCACGGCCAGTTAGGTCACTCGTTGGGAAGGATAAAAGACGTACTCTTTCAAACAAGGCCAACTACAAGAATTGATATGGTGGTGAGAAATGTAATTCATAGCCATGGCTGAAGTTGAAGCAACTGTTCTCTCTACACAGCAGAGATTCGTATTTCGGTATTTATATCGAAAATAATGGCAGACATTGAACATTTACGTTAATGATAATTATTATTTCTTATTATTTATATTCATATTTCTCTGATTTAAAGTTTGAATAATTTTTTTGTAGCTCATAATTTAAAAACTTACATTGAGTGTTAATTTTGAACTGCCATCGCCTCATTCACATTGACATAATTATCGGTTACTATGTGTATTAGTTCATTTGTTTCAAATCCAATTTGGATGAATATAAATATTGCAATTAAAATTTCTGAATGTTTGTATTTTCGCCATATCTCTGCTTAGAAAACAGATATCAAAATACGGTTTTTCACAGATATTCTCACTTTTTCATCTTATTTGATATCATATAATAATTATATCGTTCCATTTGAAATTTTCAAAAAAACGGCGAAGTTATAAACTTGAAAATAATTTCCAGCGATTTCTCTTGGCACCTTTTGTGAAAAATTTTTTTTTCCCAAAGCTGTGCAATTAACGGCAATTAACGGTTCCATAGATATGGCCTGTGGTCATTATTAATGGGACACCCTGTACATACGTACATTATTATCTGCATCAAATTGTGATTTTTTTACACAAAGATGTATAGCAAAGGTGATGAAGATGAAATGTTAACACGGAAGGAGGGTGGTAACAGTTTAAGAACTGTAATAACGGCTCCAGTTTGTCGCGTGCAAGGTTGCCTACAGCCATCTATTCCGTGATACATAAGTACCATGATTCCATGCGTTTGATCCGTTTTTAGCGCATTTTCCAACGAAGTTGGGTGCGCTATTGCAGCCACTCTGTCCATCCGTCTATCCGAGGTCTTAACTAGTTTTCGAGGTATTTAGTTCGTTCCTTTTGCACTCTGTAGCGTATAGCTCTGGCATCTGAGCCAAGGAAAATCTTGACGATTAAACTGTTCATTCATAGGCTGCGCAATGTCAACTTTCTTATTTATTAATATATTTTGTTGAAATTTTAACCACAGATACTTCTGGTAAAGGCAAACATATCACATATAGTGAAAATCAGATGTGCGCATGCGCAGATTGCGCAATGCCAACTTTCTTATTTATGGAGATATTTCTTTGAATTTTTAACAATGTATGGCATTTTGGAAAGTACTCATCAATGCATGGGAAATGCGCTGAAGTTATTCGTCCTAGGGCGAAAACCTTTTCACTTGTTTTTTTAAGTATACATGGCCTATATGTATACATTAAAGCAAACTTCCCTGTATATATCTCCACAATGTTATTAAAAAAACGAGATATGTTTGTGTATATTTGTGCCTAAAGAAAATATTTCATTATTTGAATTTATTTATTACACTAACTGCACACTACAATTAGTTATTTTCCAGATTAGTTAGCCAAGGGTTTGCAAGTAGTGGAAGTTCCAGAGCATCGGTGGATAGTGACAGTTCATATAATTCAATCTCACATCGTTTGATAGTATCTAGTCCGTTGCTCTTAGAATTCCTCCACGTAATTTACCACTGTGTGGTGCGCGGTGTCAACGAGTCTACCCATACGTTTCATGAAGTAACGCGTCGAGGTATATACGAATGTTATCCAGGTTAGGCGAAATTTTTTATTACGATTGAGTCAACGTGTCCGTTTTAGATGTGCTACTAGTTTCTCACGCGATTCAAAATCTGTTCCATCGATCGCCTAGTGTTCCTGTAGCGGCGCCGCAACCTCACGTGGTCTCCAAGTCGATGATAACGAATGCATCGTTTAGGACGAAAAAACTTCCAGGTAAAGTATTGACTCCACCACCGCTGGTAGTGACGGAAAAAATTGCGTGCAGATGATATTCCGATTCAGGCTGATGAGAGCGCGGAAGGCGTGCTCAGCTCAATTACGGAGGAGCAAGAAGATAACGAGAAGACGCGAACAAGATCAGGTAGCAGTGCGCTTAAACATTTGCCTAAGCTGCCGGGGTTGAATAAAAAACCTAAGGTAATTAAAAATAGTCCCACTCCACAGAGAAATAGCTTGGGATCGGAGAGTATAGAAATGCATTACGGAAGTGGTGATCGTGTGTCGGTCGCCTTCACCGACGGAACGTCGGACGATGTGCCGCAACCGCTACATGTCAGTGCTGTTTAAAGGTTTGCATAGTTTAAATTTATCAATAGTATTTAAAAGCAATTTCCAAATAGTTAATGTTTTAGGTTAGGGTTCGTTGTTATAAGTAGTGTATTACAAAATGGAAGCCTAGTCGATAAATTTATTTTATGTAAAAAAGATTTTAAATTTTATGTACAGGGTGTGCCTACTTAATTGCATTTAACACTTGAATATCATTTCGTCTTTCAATTTTGTGTGTATTCGATGTTTTTATCTAATTGCAAAGCATTTGCGAACACCATGGGGGGTACAAAGAAAGAGTGCCAGACAATCTTTATAAATTTTGCCTCAGCCCCAAAGGAGTTAGGTCAGGACACCGATATTTTTCGTATTGCCACAGGAGTATCCTCCATTTCTAGGGGGCGATCTCCTTCTTTGACCTATCATGGCAGCTAAGCAACAACATTGTTAGGCCGTCTGTGTTAACAACGTATATCTGCGGCAAGCTTAGAAAAATGTAGCAATAATTTGTCAATTTTACACGTCGTAATTTGTTGCTGATTAGCATGAGAACAAAGAGAAAGGTTTGTGAATTTTGGTGTTAAGTGTCTATTTAATGCAATAACTGCAATTAATAAAACGTTTGGGCATGGACCACGGGCAGAAACTAAATTACTACGAATTACACAGTCCGCATTGGATGCAGTTGCAATTGTACTTTCTAACATTGACATTGTGTAGTGTAAGTCAAGGTAACACGAAGGTTTGTTTTAATATCAAATTAATTTTGTTTGTCTGTAGTTAGTAATGGAAGATACTAAATTGGACATATGACGTAATCTTCTCTCTACGTTCAGTTCCCAAACACACAGCCTCAGTACATCATTTTCTTGAAAATTGACAAGCAAATAGTCAGGGTGTCCTGAAGATGACCTGAAAATGATTACAGTTAGTCCACTTTCAATACATGGTCAACCGCTTCTTTTTTATGAAGTGGGTATTGTGATCTTCTTGTTTTATATTAAGCTCTATAAGACCTTGGTAGGTCACCTGTTTATGATGCTACTAGATTTTTCTGTTTGAATTGAGTTCATGTGATTTTGAACATTCTGTGGCGGCAAAAATACTTAAACAAGACACAAAAAACTGCTTATATGGCCATACAGTAGCGCTTGCATACGTGCCCGTTCAATAGCGCATGCGTTACCTGTTGCGATTTGAAAAGTGTTGACGTTCATATTATCATTCTTGACAATAAAATGATGCGAACTACTTTATTTAAAACAGTAATTGCCAACAATGGAGGATAATACAACAGAAAAAGAGGTACAAGCATACATATATGCATGTTATAATTCAGAGAATAATGTTTTTGTTTGAAATGTTTGCGGAAGGATGAGAATTCTTCTCGGTGCTGGTATCGAATTTACAGTTTAAGAAATAATAATAAATAATAAATGACAAAGATTTTATAGAATAAATCATAAATAATTTATCTAATTCCTTAAGTTTTTCCCTGGGTAACATGTAGAAGAATGGAAATAACAAATTTAATCAGGAAGATTCACTCAGCCCGTTCGTTAGAAGTGTTTAACTTCACAACCATAATCGACCATTGCGAATCGATATCTCTTAAAAGTGAGTACCCTTTTGTACAATCGAATCCTTGAATTCTTAAGAAATTTGTTGAGTGCCAGCTGAAAAAGTTTCCAGGGTTGCGGCGATTAGTCAAAATTAATGTAGATTTTAATTTTAGGTTCACTTATATTATCATCCTGTGTGCCTATATCCCGTAGTTTTTGGTTATTGGCATTTTTTGAATCAAATATTCTTATTCTTTCATTAGGTGTGGTAGGCTTTGGAAGCAAACTATTTGAAATGCCATTCGAATTAACAGTGTTATCTTAGGTTCAAATTAGTTTGTCCAGTTTATTCACATTGTATTGTTTTTAATTTGTTGGTTATTTATGGTGAGAATAATAAAATGCCAATAACTGAAAATCTACCACAGTGGCCCTAAAATTCAAATTTCTATTCATTTGGAACATCAGAAAGTTTTTGACATTTTGCAGTCCTTTTTCAAGACTTTCAGCGGTCACTCAAAAAATTCCTTGGAGTGAAATGATTCGATTATATGAAAATGAGCACTCGCTTATTATGAACCGTTTAAGAGATATGAATTTTTGAATGGAGCTTCCAAATGTTTAGAGGAAAATTGACATATGTCAAAAACTAGGATAGATAGATAGGTACGCAAATCTTAATTGCGTTGAATTCAGAATAAAATGGCGCATTTACAAAAAAAATAGAAAATGGTATGTTTCTATCTAACCCAGATGGCGCCAACTTCCGGTATTTACAGCAGCGACGTTCTCTTGTAATTATTATCTTTCAATTCGCTATGATCGATTATGGCTGTGAACTAAATTTCATATTTCTATTTCACTGCAAGTTTTAAAACTTTTAACGAATTGGTTACGTGAATTTCACTGTATAGGTTTCTCACCATGTTCAATTCCAGGTGTTTCACCCTCCGGTACCCGCTTGAAAATCAGTGATCGATTACCTGTTTCAGTCTCACAGACCGATATCAATCTTATGGGCACACTTTTGATTCATTTGCAAAAAAAGTTGTGAAATAAAGTAATAGTGTACCAAAACCAAGTGCACTTACCGGGTACCGGAGGGTTAACGTTAATCTCATTTTTCAATTTCTTCAGAACCGTAAGATTCTCCTCCCAAAACCTCAATTGTATAATGTTACAGTGCCAATTGTAAATGTGCATTCTTTTGCATAGAGTGGAATAAATGTTTACACAGGTTCTCCAGCACCTGCCGTAGCTATAGTGTGGTGGCCCATTTTTGACACCTGTATAGAGGTTATTTTACTTCTATAAAAAAAAAATAATATGGCGTCACGTGCGTAAAACCTGAAATAGTAAAATCAAAATTTAAAAAATTTTGTAGGATATAGGGGATATTAAAAAAATGGTCAATTTCAGAACCAAAAGGTATACAGAAAAATGTTGTATACAAAAGTTTCTTCATGACGATTGTGGAATGAATAACCTACCGTTTTTATAAATGTAACCCGGTATATTTTAATCTAAAAAGAGCATATTAAATTCTTTTTTAAAAATATAACGCCCAAAAAATTCATAAAAGATTGAAAACTATTTTTTGGGTCACTTGAACTTTTTTTTAATTTTTTAAAAATATTTATTCTATCTTTTTTTAATCTTTTTGAATATCATATATTGTGCGCATATATTTTTGGGAAGTGAATTAATATGTCATCTGTTTCATTTCAAAAATAAGGTTAGGTCCGACAACTTTGTGTAGACTTTTCTGAAATTTGACCCAAAGTTGGTATTTTTTAAATGCAACATCCTGTGTGTTTTTACGTCAATTTTTTTGCATTTTTTTTATTACATTGATGTATCACAACCTATATTTTTTTTAAATTTTAGTCATGAACCAAAAATAAAAACCTGATTTTTTACAGTTTTTAAACAGTAGACCATGAATTCATCAAGATTTTGTTTTGTTTATTGGATACGTGGTAACTAAGGCATCCGATAGCAATGAATGAAAATGGTTAACTGCCATTTCAAAAATTTTAAAGATATGATATAATACATAATAATATCTAATTAGGTATATAAAGAATATAGGTTATGATACTTTATTATAACGGGCGATCAAAAATGAGTTGCTGTCGAGTCACACTTGGAAGTTCAAGTTAAGTACGATTTCCTATGTAACCAAAACTTCCAAAGATGACTCGACAGCAACGCATTTTTGATCGCATAGTACATCAATGTAATCAGAAAAAAGAGTGCAAAAAATTGAAGTTGATATACAGGGTATTGCAGTTAAAAAATACTAGCTTTGGGCATTGATTAAATATTAAACAATGCTTCTATGGATTCTATGTCAAAATATCTAAAACAAACAGACGGAGCTCCAGATTCTGTTTGTGGTCACAAAAAAGTGGCTGAGGGTCGCACTGGATATATACTCCGTTTTTCAATTTTTTGAAACTTAATAGTCAGTTCCATTTGGTGTAGTGGGGTTAGGTACAAGAACGCATGCAAATACAGTAACTCTTCCATTAAACTTAGAAAAAAATGTGTACATGAAAATAATTGGGGAGCTTGCAATGTCTTTAAAATTCGCCTGTGGTCACATGCATCATTTCTATTGTATTTAATACTTCAACCAGGTGCTTATTTGAATCACTAGGGCTAACACACTTACCAAATGCCCAATACACAACTTATAGTATCATCAAGTAACCTCATTATTATCGTCTTTTATTATTGTTATGACTTATGTAGGTTTCAAGAAGAGTATAATATAGGATCTCTCCGCAACTAAACTTAAAACGGGTACTATGTTGCTTATTACAGTGTTATGTCTTTGCCTTTTTGTATGTTATGCAATAGAAGGTTATCAAATTAAATTTCATTTAAACTTGTGCCATGTAAGATTTCTTCTAATTCCTACATACGTTATCGTTTTTCATTCCTAGAAACATTAAGACAGTTGAATTCTAGTCATACTTGCCAATAAAATTGGCCTTGGTGTGTGTAAATATTATCTGGGAACTAGAAAAAATTATATTAACAATATACTTACACTTATGATAAGTTGTCCGATTAACATATGGTACTCCATAGGAATTGTGTATTTGGAAATATAATTTCACGCTTAGAAGTACTGTAAAGTATAAGATGTTAATTATTTTTATGTATGTACTTATGTAAATATCACAAATACCTATCAGTGTTCACATCATTATGGTAGGTATTTATTAAACTAATAGTATTACTAATAAAGTATTGTTGATTGATAGTGTCTTATTAGACATACGATATTTCCATCGATTAGTGCAATGAGATTTGTGGGATTTTAAATATTTGCTGTGTGTTGAATAATAGATGTTCCTATTAGTTCACATCGATAAAGTTTCAGTGTTAACATTTTGTATTTACAATGTGATTTTTGATTGATTTAAATGTCCATGTTTCCTTTTTTAATGTAATTTAACTGGTAACATTACTAAATTTATTGATATATGAAAAAAACTATTTACTAAATAAAAATTCAGCAAATTATAATTTATTTTAATAAATTATTGGTACAGTCCGCTATGCTCATACACATATGAGAGATGCATGATCGATGAAAAGTACATTTTTCTAAGGGATTTATAAGATGGTTGTTATGAAAGTTACTTTCGGCTGCGTTTTTTTTTCTTACCAACTAATACCTCTCTTCTGTTCCATTATTTGAACCCGTCGGTTTCAATTACACTTTCCCATTTAACTTACTTTTCCTCATGTCAGTTTTCTGCACAAAGTATTTAGGTATATTCTTCGCTTCCAGAAGTTTCAGGACAGCAGTTTTTGTGCTAGTTTTATGTTTCCTTTTAAAAGATTTTGCATAATTCTGTCAGTACAGGGTGATTTAAATTCGTGGTTCACAATTGGGATCTCAGTAACGGTGGGAGATACAGTGTAAGTTAAATGTCCTTAAACGCATTTGAAATTTTTGAGAATAACTGAAACTTTCCATAAGGGGCTAGATATAGGAGGTACAGGCCAATACTTTCTTATGGGCGCCATATTGGATTTTTACGTATTGAGATTGAGGACAAAAAATGGAAACTAATCACGCGTCACACACTATATCTTTTCATAAATTTACAAGAAAAATTGCAAAATAAAAACATCCACGGGTAACTGGATCTTACCGAATCAACATATAACTCTCGCCAGGGAAGATTACCGGTCACAGCACACCTTGTGTCAATTTACAATATGTTTTTTTTAAGATGTGAGCGACTTTCGGAATAGGATCGTCAGATCGTGCCAATGTTGAACGAAAAGACTTTTCGTTCAACATTGGCACGATCCTATCCCGGAAGTCGCTCACATCTTTAGAAAAACACAGATTGTAGACCGGGATCAGATCTTCTGTGACCGGCAATCTTTCCTGGCGAGGTTTAGCTATTGTGGCGATACATACAAATGAATTTCTTTTTTGTTCTCCATTTCATTCCATAAAAATTCATTATGGGCATATAGCGTTCACTAAGAAAGTAGTAGCGTGTTATAGAAATTCTGATAACAGATTCAGATTCTCCGAAAAAAGTGCCCATAGAAGATGGTAACGGGAACGAAATTTGGTATTTTCAGTTTTTCGGTGATATCTCAATATTGGTTTCAAAGATTTTTCAAAAATTTCAAATGGGGTTTTTTTGTCACAAAATTTGAACCACCCTGTACAAGCATTGAAAAATGGAGATTAGGTTAAAGACAAGTCAATTTCGTTTATTTTTTATGTTAAAAGCAAATTTTGTATTGTCTAAGTTAAAAGTTTTACATAGGTATCGATAAAAAAGGCTAGATCAGTAGATAGGTGCATAATTAATTGCAGACTATGGCCGTAACTTGTTATACTGTTGAATGAAGCAACCTTTAAAAGAGTTTAATCGAACATCAACTTCTCCCTCTTCGAGCTGAAACAAAACACACCGTCAAATGGATTATTTAATCTTTGGACATACATTTATGCAGATTTTTGATTTCTTATGCAGGTAGGTACTGTATCTAATTACTACCGTACTACAGAAGCAGAGTATTAGCAGAAGTGTGACGGCAGGAAAATCCTTTTTTGACAAAAAAAACATGGCATAGCCCACAGAAATACACGAAATAAATCAACTACGTCAATAAAACGCAAAAGAGAAAAACACAGTCAAACATCTCAAATCGAAAAATAAAAATCAAGTAGATATAGAATCAAACCAAAGAGTATATAACGAAGGATTAATGAATGAATGATATGGCTATATACTTCAACGTTTGCTACCATTACTTTAACAAAAGAAACGTACCGGTGAAAAACGTAAGCAGTACTCATGTAAAAGTTGATTATCCCAAACACAATCACATACAAAACAAAAGAAAAGTTAATTAGAGGGCCCCCTTTCTCGTATTGCTAAGTCCTTGTACAGAAGAACGATTCACTCGCGCGTATCACGTGCCTACTTTGCGTCCAGAAGGGGCGTAAAAACGTTCGAACATTTGGAAATGTGAATAAACTGTCAGTAGAAAACATGTACCTCAACGAATTAATTTATATCAGCCCTTAAATGGATTGATTTATAACAGTTAATTATTGTTAATCACTCACTTGTATACAATTTATTACATGTAAATTAAACATAAAAATATCACATAAGTAGGACAGCGAGCTTCACTAATAACACTTTGACATCGATGTGGGAACTGCCACAATTTGATTCTCTTATGTAGCAAACGGAAGATTTCTAGAAACATCACGGACATTCTTGAGCATTCCCGATTTCCGAATACCTGCGAAGTCGGCATATTGCATTTCTCAGAAAGAACGCGCCACATTCGCTTTCGTTCCTTATCGCTCGGTGACCGGTGATTATCTCAATGCCGGTGACGGTGACTAATCTTTTATGGCGTCTGCCGGCGCTCCAATGTCTGGGATATTCGCTACACTATCAAGAGAAATCAAAAGGCGAATCGAGCTACTACATATTCTCAAAATGTTAAAAAAATATTAAACCAGAGACTGTTCATTTAAGACAATGCCAGAGTTATGAAGACGTCGCACGTTGTCGTAGCTCCCAATGTTTGCAAAATCTGCGTAATCTTTCGTAAGTTTTGAGCGCATTTTTATTAAATGAAACATTAGAGATTTAAAACCGTACAGCCCCTAGGAGTTATATATATTTAAACTCATTCAGATGTGAGGAATTTAAACCCTCTGGCGCGTAAAATAAACCTGAAAGCGTCATACCTACCTGATCTGCTTGATAGAGGTCTCTGTAACACGAAGGTGAAATACATTGTCTTACGCACAAAACCTTGGATATTCCAAGTTTTCCCAGACAACCTCCTTCACAGGCGCCTTCGATTTCCCGAAACAATACCTCCTGGAAAAATAAAATGATCAGATCCTCCTAGTTCGCGAACAAAGTAAATAACGACATTTTTACTAGTCTCCTTGTAGGGAAACTCCGAAAACGAGTAGATCACTTTTTCGGAACAGAAGATACTATTAACCACAAGAATTAACCCCAAGGCAATATACATTTTTCAAACGCGAAACTGCGCACGCATTGTATTTTTCTACCATCCTTCTCGCGCTGTGTTTCCATTTCCCATTACTTCAGTTTACAAATCAATTCGTGCATACCTGCGCATAATCGACAACCACTTGCTGATTCTAATGTACGAATTTCTAGTTTGTTGAATTGTAATTGATTTGTATTCGTACGCGTACCTAACAAAGTAATTTTGTGCTACAGAAACGTCGAGGTAAGTAAACATTGCTTCTGTTATTATTTACGTCTAATTAGATTAAAGGTTCGGCGACAATGACTAATGTGTATTTACAATGGTAATTTAGATTTCTTTGCTATTATGAGTAATTTCATGAAAAGAACCCCTTGGATTTTGGACAGTATGTTACAAATGTTGTACCGATGGAATTAAAAAAAGCAAGGCTAAAAAACCAGTTCTTGAATGTCGCCTTTGTTTTGTTTCTGTAATATGCTACCTGTGGCGCAGATTTAATTTTTAAAACTGAACACTTCCAAATTTATGAAAGCAGTACTTTAGGCACTACGTTGGTTTTTATTGTTATTGTCTTTAATTTGAACAGGTACCTAGTTGCATTATATTTGAATGCGCTTGTACGTTTATTTTAATAAGGGCAAATTTTGCAAAAAAGTAGTTTTAACTGTAGTGAAGCATGAATCTGTTTTATAAATTATTTGGGAGTAATGATCACGTTAAGGAAATGAGACGGGAGTTAAATCAGGAATGGGAAGAACTGAATCAATGTATTTGGGTATGATTTTAATTTCTTCTTCTTTTTACTTCTGTTTTGTGAGATTTTATTGTGCGGAGTGCGTCCGTCATTGTGATAAAAACTATGAGTGCGTTATGGACATTTTTTTACAATTTTCAAACACGAACTTAACCTCACAATTTTCGGAGGTGGACTGAACGAAATTGTAAAATTAATTGGACATGGGGCATCGAATTTTCGTTGAATTTCCCGGTGTTGTTGGTACGTATTTCGGTAAAACTCGCCGACGTGTGCGCGCGATGCTGCGTTCATTGATCGGGACCCCTCCGCGACCGCAGCGCGGACCAGGGTAGTTGAGCTTGCACCCCAGGCGGGCGTTGTTTTAGGTAGTCTATTGGCCGCAAAGCCCGCTGAATGTGTTAGTTAAATTTTGAACTGGTTTATATTTATAATAATTTGCGCCGCGAAGTGTGGTTTTTTTTATGTGAGAAGTCCAAAACAGCCAGCAAACTGTGGGGCGCAGGGGCATTTTTTCTTCCTCCACAAGGAATGTACTACCCGGTAAGTAGTGTTTTGTTTAAAATTGCAAAATTGCGGCGGTGCCTTATGGCCTGCGATATAAAGCGCAAAATTCCACGAGTCCCACAATTACAGGACGCTTTAAATTAATAAATTATCTAATTAAAATTGAATGGGGAACATCTGCTTCATCCCGTCAAGCTAATTCAGTGGCGTTCGTCTAGATGTAAACATCTGTTTTATTCGTACCAATTTTAGTGATAATAAAGGCAACGCATTTATGATAACTTTTGAAAAAACGCTGTTATGTGTTAGCGACAGATAAACAAGAATTTGGCCATCGTTTTTAATTCAGCAGACACTTTTGTTCCGTTCCCCGCTTGTTTTGCGTTCCCCTATTCCACATCTGGACCCCAATTGCGTATCTGCGTTACATCACTACACCGTGATAAGTAAATGTTTAAATTAAATTGATCACATAAAAGCATCGCTGCTGGTTGCGCCAGTCTGCTAATCGCCCGAAGCTCAAAATCGTTTTCCACCCCTTACCTTTTTATTTGATCTCCGTGCAGCTTCCTCTTCCCTCTCACTCTCACTTCTTCACACAAATTCACAGGTTGAGGGTGTGTACACACCCCCGCATCTGCGGCAGTATTTCCAGGGACAGCACCTCGTCCAAGTTTACTCTATTATCGTAAGATTTGCCCGAAAGGTCACGCTGTAATCTTATTGAAGTTCTTTTATTGGTTTTTATGGGAACTTTAACCTTAAAATTTTAACTTTTGACGATGTACCGACTAAATAATTCATTCACGCGAACCAATTAGATAAGGTACGGCAGGGAAGCGCTTAATTGATGACAATTGAAAAACGGATGAATAAATTGTTCGTTTATTGCCGATCCTCACTGCGATTAATATTGTAAAAGGATCACGTGGCTCGACGTTTTCCCGAGGGTAATCGCATACTTAGTTGGAGAGATCTTTATTTTTTACCTCCGCCGAGACCCCCGGTTAACCACCCACCTAAAGTTTTTATCAGTATCGATATAGCATCTGCACCTATCTCCCTTTATTTCGCGTGGAAAATTGTCTTTCGCATGCAGTGGCGTATCGTCGAAAATTCAACGATAGCTCTGTCAAATCTATTAAATCACTCAGATGTCTGAACCAATTACGTGTGCCATATTTTGCATAATGAAATTTTTGTCGGTACGTGTATATGTATATTTTTTTACTGAGAAAGAAAAGTCGTTTAAACTGTTTCCAGGGTGTTATCAATGACTTTTAGGCAAGAACTAATGGAAAATTTGTGATCTAAAATAAAAAGATAATTGAAAGTTGTACAAAGATCCCGATCATCCCCAAAATTCCCTGGAAAAGACTTACTATGTATTTCCCAGAGTCTCTCCCTTATGCACAAGGAGAATACAGCGCAATTGTGGATCACACCCCAGACCTTTTCTGTCCCCTTTCCAGATGTTTCTAGGTCCTTTTTTTTTAGATAGTTTCGATCTCACACAGCCCTGGAGGAGACTTGGAGGGTATAGGAAACATCTTTCCCTGTCATTCGATCTTTTTCTGGACCTGACGCGTTCTTTTTCTAAGCTACTTTGGAAAGTGTTCCAGAATTTTGTTGTAGGTCTTTCCCAGAGCGTTTTAGAGACTTCCTTAGTTTTTCTGTAGAGATTGACGAGGATAGGTTGTTTCTAGGCCTCGTTTTGTTCTCTAGAAAGGTTCTATAGAGTGAAAGAAACTCGACACGGGTTTTCAAAACTTCCTATAAGCTTTCCAGAATATTGTACCCGAGATTGTATCGCCTTCCTAAGGCGTTTATGCCCTTTCCAGTTTTTCTCTGGTTCTTTTACATATGTTTAAATTCAGCTTTAAATAAACAAACTATAAATATATCTGGAAAATGTCTAAAACGCTTGCAAATATACTATAGTCTATCTAAAATTGACGCGAAGTAATAAATTATAAATTGGTGAAATAGAAATAGTATTTTTGTATGGAAGTGCTTCTCTATCTCTGTCTATCAACTATATTTATTACTTCGCGTCCATTTTAGACAGACTATAGAAAGTTCGGGGACGCGTTAATATCACGTTCCAAAACACTTCGAAATGTTGTAATTTGTTCTCAAACATTCCCCCGAAAGCATATCGACAATTTACATCCCAATTAAAGTGCTTTTAAAAGGTCGCTCCTAAACCTTTGCTCTGCGGAAAACGCCTTGAAAGCTGTGGAAATGGTCTGGACAATATTGGAAACAGACAAAATGCGATGGAAGAGTATTGGAGCGCACTTAAGGTCTCTTGGGGACGCTCTTTCTAAGCGGCGGCTGTCACAAAAAAAGGCATATAATATCTTTCTATAGTAAAAATTCGGTTTTAAGAATTGTTGTTAGTTGGTCATGATTCGTAATCATTACAAAAGTGTCTGAAAAACGGCTGGTATATAGGACGAGACGTATACAGAATTTTACGTAAGTTTAAAAATGAATTAACATACAGGGTGCTTGATTTAAAATAAGCAAATAGAACCTTTTCCAAAGCTTTCTAGCATTTTCCTGATCAGTTTAAGATGTCCCACGAGGTGTCTCATTTTCGACACTTTTATGGGATATTCGAGTGGATATCTCTGTAATTGTTAGTGCTATCAAAAAAAGATTTGGGTCAAACTTAAAATGGTAAAATCAAAATGTGAAAATCTTCTTTGGTTTCAAAAAATTGTCAATGTCAGAATGACTATTATGTTCTTCGAGATGTTCGTCTTTAAAATAATAGATATTTATTATGAAATCTTCCTTATAGTAGGTAATTGACGGTAATTGATAAATAATTTTCAAAATTTTCGAAATAAGTATGTATACGTGGCGAGGTAAAAAAGTTATCGAATATTGGTAGCTCGAGTGGTACGAAAGGATTCAAAGTTCAAATCTTTTCGAAATTTTTATATATTTTTTGAAGTATTTGAACCTTTTTTAATTTTTTTGAATTTTTTAATTTTTTTGAATCACTTGAATTTTTTAATATCCCTAGCGTGTTATAAAAATCTAGCGTGATATGGAAATTATCATAACAGATTCATCTTCTCCGAAAAAAAGTGCTTTATATGATAGAAGGTATTAACGGGAACCGTCCATTTCCGACCGTTTAAAAGATAGGAAAATGAAAACGAAATTTAACAGTTTCAGTTTTTCGGTGATGTTAGTTATTTTCAAAAATTTTTCAAAAATCTTAAACGCATTTTTTTAGTCACAAGATGGGGCAAGTTGACCCCCATTTAACCTACACTGTCATCGTTACGGACATCCCAATGGTGAGCCACGAATTTGAATCACCCTGTACAGAGTGCCACCACGAATGCCGGGCACGATATCTCGAATATCGGAATATTTTGAAAATGTGACGATCGAATTCATCTAAAGTATTTATAAGTTGGTGGCATAACGGAAGTTGACTTATTTTAAACGGTACACGTTATATATATTTTTTTTAGATTATACGTAGGTATACTTTTTTGACATATTTAAATTTTGATGTCAAAAATGACGTTTGTTGGTCATTTCATAATTGACATTTTTTGAAGGACCCTGTTTTATATTTAATTGGGGCTGGTTTTCTTTAAGGAGGGGTTCCAATTTTTGTGTGTTGGTACTTTGAACTGCCTCTTAATAAGTACAAAAATTTAGGGTAATTTTCGATAGTTTATTCTAAAAATTTTCAGTTTTTGAAACATTGGCCTCTCAATATTGGTCCAGCGTGAAAATGCTATTAAATATCGTTAATGTTTGTTAGTTGGCCATGACTCGGAAAACGGCGGAAAAAAAACAATCGATCACTAAATATCCTCGTAAATATCTGACGACGAGTCATGGCCAACTAACAAATATGTTTAAAACCGTACTTAATAGCATTTTTACAGTAGAAAAATATTAAATAGCCAGCATTTCAAAATCTGCACATTTTTGGAATTTATTCAGTATGCAGAATTTTGGAATAGATTATTTCATGAAACGTGGAGTCTAAAAATGAAATAATATATAGGGTGTTATATTTAAAATAAACAAGTAGAAGCCTTTTCAGAGCTTTTCTGACCTTTTCCAAACGGTTCTACCATTTTTCGGATCTTTTACAGGATTAGGATATCTCTCGGGGTATCTCTGTAAAAAAGTACTTCAGTAATGTGATATCCGATGGTTGCATTTTAGGTTGCAAACCATGCAGAACGTTTTATGAAAAATAACTGTTTTTTAGAATAATCAGCAATAAAAAGATTGCCCATATGTTGCGAACTTAAATGGACTCACTGTATAACAAATATTAATGCATTTAATAATCGTAAAGCATCATTTGTTTTTTCGACTTTAATTTTTTGTTTTTGAATGCGACCCTGTATATTTTATTGTTATCGGACTATACCACCGTGTATCGAACGCAGAATGGAAAACTACATACGAAATGTTATAATTGGGATTTTTGTTTTGTTTGAAAAGCGATTCAAAAGTTAAAATAAAAAATATCTACTACAAATTCGAAGAAACTAATAATTTTAATAACCAAATGAATAGTACGCTAAAAACTAACCAAATGACCTTCATTTGGAATACACGAAAGTAATTACAACGACCTCTATCGATTTTACAACAATCAATTTACTATATTTACATTGGAACAGTTTTAATTACATTTTGAACTATCCGACAAGTTTAAAACCGAAGCTTCAGTTTGCTGAAACAGAATTATCGCAACCCATTTACAAGGTAAATAAAATAATAAAATAATGCGATGTTTGGGAAAGAAATGAACGTATTATTTGACCAATATAGGACTCGTCAAACAAACTGGCCGAAGGTAAGATTTGTTAATATTTGGTAGTTTTTTGTTTCTCGGTTTTTCTTATTATTTGTTGCAATAGTTTTTAAATACAAGTTGAGAGACAAGTTGTCACTCCGCTGGCGTTTTAAATTACATAGTTTAAAAAAATGAGTGAAATTGTGTCGGAATGTCGAAAAAAGCCCTCAAGCGGTGATATGTG